TGAATATGACTGATTATTTTTTGGTTTCAATATTAGGGTCTGTTCATTTTGCTTGGGTGGAGATACATAATTTGTTTTCAGTACATCAGAATAGCTTAAACAATTTACTTTTATTTCATTTTTTTCATGAATGATTTCAATTGTTTTCTTCATTTGGTCTAGGATTTCCATTATATTATTGTCATCAATCATATTGGAAACTCTTAATTTATAATTTTCCTCCAATCTTTCATTGAGTTTTGTTAAATATTTAATTTTATCATCTTTTTCGGCAATCAGTATATCTTTTTGTTCAATTATTTCTCTAAGTAAACGAATTTTCTCTTCATTATGTTCCTTGTCCTTACTATTAATAGATTTTGATGATTTATCAACATAGTCAACCTGCGTGTAATTAGCAGAAGTACCTTCTTCTGATTTGAATAAATCACTTTGGGAAGCACTGACACCGCTCAAATTGAATTGTTCACCAGATTGAGATTGATCTGAAATATCATATTCAACATGAGTCTTTTCATCACACGTATTTTTATTTCGTTTCTTTCTCCTCATTCTTCCTAAATTATGGTATTATTTTGACATCTTGACACTGTCAAAATAAAATATTTCCAATATCACATTGAAAAATTACACTGAGGCACCGAACAACACATCTTGCATCTGATGGTCATTATTACATACTAAATAAGTCTTCTAACACAATAAACTTCACCAAATTCCTTTCAGTTCGTTAGCAGCGTGATGTAAGCGTGACACGCTGCAAACGCTAAAAAGGATGTACTAGGTCATCGAGAATAATAGTAGATTGTTTTATTAGGATCAAAAGTGACACTTTGTTTGACAAGCGAATTTTGCATTTGCGAGGCGGAGCGTTTAGCGAAGCCGAGCGAAAGCAAAATTTGCGAGTCGAACAAAGTCACTTTTGATCCGAATGAAACATGCTATTTTTTCTGCAACCGAAACAATTAACTCAAATGAACATGTGAAGTAATCACCAATGTCGTGCCATATGTAGGTATGCAATGCAACAAATATTGACAAATAATCCATGTGTTGAGAATATTCTACCTGCATTAACAGCAGGTTAGGTTTTCTAGGATGTTCGAATTGTAGTTTCAATATAAATGCAACCACAGAGTGACATATTTGTGTATGGACCAGGTGCTCTAATGGCAAATACCGCGCCAGTGCCAGCTATAGGAACAAGACGTGGAAAATATACTATACATACTATACTGTGTTTGACTTGATAATCAAATGAAGCTAAACAATATCGTTGTTTGAGACAAAAAAACTATTGCTTGCCGTGATTATTCAAAAACAAGTTATCCATCCCGAGAATAACGAATGATATACAGATCAAGCAAGTATTTGAATCTTGAAGGCTTCCCTGATCAAAACAAAAATACTTAACTGAGATGTTTATAATTCCAATATTAAACTATAATAAGGTGTATTTATATCTCCAGCATGGGTATGAAATGACAAATCTGCTGAAATCGGAAACAAATCATGTATGCGGCTCAACCCAAATAACCAACCGTCACAATGTTGTTCATTCTTGATGACGTCCAGTACATCCTTTTTAGTTCCTAGGAGCTAAAGTTCAACTTTAGCTCTTAGGAACTAAAATTCAACTTTAGCTCCTAGGAACTAAATATGTTGCCTAGCAACATACCAATTTTTGTGTCAGTAATAGAAACGTCAATTTAAGAGCTAATTTTGGTATCAAAATGGGCGACTTTTGTGTCGGTTGCAGAAAAACAACATTGTTATGGTTGGTTATTTGGGTTGGTACTTGGTACGTATATATGATTTGTTTCAGATTTCAGCAGATTTGGCATTTTATACCGATGCTGGAGATATAAATCAACCATATGATTTTTGGATGTATGATAAATTGATATTCATCATACAGGGCGTAGAAAGAAATTCTGAATTGAGAAAACCTAATCACGAATCTGCGATTGAGGTCTATAAAAATAAGTTTCCATCGAAGTTTGAACCCCTTGATTGGGTGAAAGTATTGAAAAGGAATATTCTCCGACAAAATTATGAGCATAAAAAAATGGATATATATATATATATATATATACAGGGTAACTCACGGTCAATGGTACGTTAGACGTTTATGGGGAACGCAACGCAGGATTTTTCTGAAAATTTCACATCTCACATTTTATTACCTGTTCAATCGATCTAAAATATTTTCGAAATTGCGACGTTGCAGTTTATATCAAAAAGTCTTAGCAACTTCATTTTTTTAAATGGAACACCTTGTATATTATCAATTTTTTAGAATTGCCTTTTTATTACAATACTCTTTTTAATAAATCCCTATACCTATCTCTATCGGTTTTCAAGATAAAAAATAATTTGTGTTAAATATGATCCAACACATATCCCTAATTAAACTTATGTAAATAAGGGCTTTCGAATCATAAAGAGTTGATATTTTAGTGGTGGTTTGGACAGGCTTGATATATTCAATTTACACAGAGAAGTCGCCTCCATATCATACAGGGCGTGCTGGAATTATTATTATATCCGTTGTTCATACAAGTGGTCAAAAGTTCATTTTTTCAAATAGAACCCACTGTTTTTTACTCAATGAAATGAAAGAAGAATAAAAATGCTACAAGATGACATAGCATGTCCTAAATCATCAAGTTTTCTTAATAAAGCCACTTTTTGTGAAAAATATAATTTCATGAAAAAGTTAATTTTAGATAGCCATGGAAATATCAAACTCATGATAGTTCGGTGACATTAATGAGTAATTCAATAATTGTTATTGACAGTGTTTAAAAAAATCTCCCTAATGAACGCGAATCTCGATTATTCAAACGAAGTTCTTATGAAGTTATTTATTATACACGGACAATGTGATCAAATCATTGCCAGAACTTGCAGAAAATTCAACCAAGTGTATCCTGAATTGACACCAATGAACAAGAGGAAATTTGTGTGATTACAAAATAATTTCATCAACTATGGCTCAAAGTTTCCAACAACTCTATCAAAAATCAGCTTATCTAGCATATCTAGGTAGATAGCTAGATTCACTGTGAAAGTACAGAAAATAACAGAATTAGGAGGAACAAAAGTAACAAATGTATAAACAAAATATCACATTTTCACAATAAATGCTAGAAATGTCCATCACATTCTAAACATTTTAAAATATGCTTTTGTACGCGACTCGTGGTTGCCTTTTGAATTCCATGAGGATCCAATGAGGGGTCACAAGCTGTATGGTTGGATTTGAAGGGAAAATGTTGGGGCGGATTTCAGCTACCCCTAAAGGGTTATACTCTACATATTGCTTGCAAAATGTAGGTAAATACATTGAAACGTTGACGTATTGTCGATTTTTCCTTAAAATCATTTCCCTCCCCGCTATCGAATTTATTCCAGTTAAACTCTCCCCCCTATATTGAAATAATTACATATTTTTGATGAAATGAACGAGAGAATCCGAGAAAGAACTAGTGTCACTGGATGGTATTATTTAGATAACAGTTCGGACACAGAAATGACAACTGTTAGTGTTTTTGAATGTTTAGATTTATCAAGTTACAAACCTTGCATTGTGACAACAGCATCATAGTCGTTCCGCGCTTTTTCATTCAAAATTGTTAGAATTTGACAATAAATTTTATGATAGTCAGAATTTGAATAAAATCTCATAAACTATTGAGAAAAAAGGATACATGGAAATGTCCTGCTAGCTAATGAAATGGGGGAATTCTGAGGGAATGGCGATTTCATTCCTTCAATTTTCCAAAGGAAATAACCATTCCATTATGGAAGGAATTTATAAAACGGCCTGGATGGAAAATTAATTTGAAGACGGGCAAAATGTGTGACCTGAGTACAAACATTAAAATTCACTTATAACAAACATAATATTGAAAATAATTCCAATATTATCATCACGGGAAATGCAAAACATGTTAGAGTAATTGATTGCAAAACTATGTATAATGAAATTGAAAGTTTGATAACGAGAATGAGGAAATCAAGTAAATTGAAACGTGATATAATATCATTGAATGGCGTTTTCTCATTTCGACTTTTGGCCACAGTAGGAGAAACATGGCGTCTCCAGGCCAAAAATCAGGTTAATGTGAAGTCTTACATCTCTACGGCGGTATAGAGGCCGGATGATGACGGATTCATCGGATAAGGTGGCCATACTTGAAGTCAAAACGTGCTCCATTATTTCTACGCCGGTAACCAGGCCAGATCAGCAACGGATTTGCTGGATAAGAGGAGTACATACGATCGAATCTTATGAACACTGATGACTCGGCTTCAGGCCATTGTGATAGACAATTGGTGTCTTATGTGGCGAGTCGAGGGATAATATTATTACATAACCAAGTATTTATTCTTGAAAAAATTAATTACCTGATCCGGAGAAATTGTTACCGAAAGGAGACAGAAATCCAATACAACCAAGGAGGAGGAGAAGAATGGCGTTTTCAATACCGACCAAATTGAAAAATCACCAGGAAAAAGTGAATGCAGCAGAAGGTGGAAAATCGAAACAATCTCCATGTTTCAAACTTCATCACTCGGGTACAGTTTTACATACAATAAGCAACTAGCTATAAGTATATCCATATGTGTCTATTTTGTCATATTAAAATGTTACATGAATTCTTTTTATTTTTATAACCATATGGTTCTGCGAAAAGTGTATCACTATATAAATCGAAGTGGGTGTTTATACCCTATTTCTAAATTTCATCTACGACAATGATTGATTTGACAGAAAATATAACGTCTAAAATAATATCTGACAATCAGGCTCTACTAGGGAAATTGAAAAGACAAAGAGCAGAATATATGTCTTATTCTTTTATTCACTCAAACCATTGTAATGTAGAAAATAGCGAAGGACAGACGTTCAGCTGTGTCCGAACTCATATCTAACTAATAACATCCAATTTCTTTGAAATATGATTTAGTAATACAAATAATCACTCACTTACTCATTCAAATTCGGTGAATATCCTCCCGAGATCCAAGTCTTCATACAGAAACACAAAGAGGGCACCCCACATGGAAGCAGCTCGCACAAGGTGGCGTAATGATCGAATCTCGACCATCCAGTGAGGGCGATGCCCCGAAAATTCACGATCTTTCCTGCATGCATCCCGAGTTCCGAGAGCCACGCTTCGTGATTGCTCACGTGGTACTTCGTGACGGGCAGCAATTGACAGCTGCTAGTGGCTCCTTTGAAGGCCGAGGCTGCCCAAACGTTCGCGAAAATGTTGCTGTATTTCTCCCACAGGTTGCCACCCAAGCGGAATGTGTCTGAAGAGTTGTAATGCCATATCATCGGTTCAACTAGGTTTCCTATATAGTATTCTGAAAGAGATAAATATAAACTACTAACGAATTCAACAAAATTATGACAAATCTGTTCATCTCTTCCATATAGTTCATTAGAAACGAACGAGGAAGAAATGCTGACATCATAAATATGGACTTTGCAACAATTCTCGCATGGGAATCCAATAACTTGGTAGATTTCAATGCAAACAAAACACAAGCATGCCTTTTCTCTAAAAAGACCAATCTCACTGTACCCAAAATGAGCTCGTCAGGAGTAACCATTCCTTTGAAGACATCCATTTCGATGCTTGGGATTACAATCAGCAATAACCTTTCTTGGGAAATTCAGGTGAGATCAATTGCAAAAAGTGCATCCCAAAAACTTGGTTTTCTGTTTCGGGCCAGGAGCTATTTCACAACCAGTCAGCTGCTTATGATCTATAAGGCACAGATCCGACCTGTCCTGGAATACTGATCCCATATTTGGAGTGCAGCACCCAAACATACCCTGAAACTATTGGAGTCTGTCCAAAAAAGGGCAATTTGTCTCGTGGGTGATGCCTTGCTCACAAACTCACTCACTTCTCTGGAATTCCGTAGAAAAGTTGGCGATCTGGCTCTATTTTATAGATATTTTCATGGACGATGCTGTTCTGAAATATCAACAATTGTTCCTCCCTTGGCAGTCCCCGCGAGATTAACCCGTCGAGTTGAGGCTTCGCACCCCTTCGTGGTCACTTTGGAGACCTGCAGAACATCTGTTTCTAAAGACTCGTTCATCCAACGAACAGCGAGGCGAGCGAACACATTGCCAAGGGAGGCATATAACCTCCAGAAATTCAAGAAGAACACCAATTCCTACCTTATTTCCCTTGGTTCTCACGATGTTCTCTGAACATTACAGGATATCTCTTTTCGTGGGAACCAGAACATAAAAAAAGTGCTACTCTGTCTATGGCTTATAAATATTTGTATATAAGACTTTATAACCTTCTAGTAATATCCCATCGTTAGTATTCAGTGACGTCATGTCAAAAAGCATAAGATGACCGGTTATCGTGCACATTACTACTCTTTCAAAGCTACCTTGCTACTCACAACTGTAACACTAAAATTTCAGCCCCAAACAAATAGAATCTTGCAGTCATGTGAGAAGACTTTTCCGAGTGAGTACAACATTGCCCAATTTGTGGAGATATCTCCGATGCACTCAAACACATTTGATTTCCTAGTATTAGTAGTAGTAGTATTCTGAAAGAGATGAAAAAACTACTGACGAATATCACAGAATTTTGACAAATCTGTTCTTCTCTTCCATAGTTCTTCAGTGCTACTCGATCTCTGACGAATGAACAACTACACATGAGACTTCATAGCCTTCCAGCAATACGCCCATCGTTAGGATTTGACTAACGTGAAGCAGAGCGCCCTGTATAAGTAGCGCACTTTCTAAGGAATCAGTGTTTGTGTCGGTTACCCACCTGTAATTCGCTATTGCTTTCTTAGCAATCCAATAGATCGAGGAAGGATGTTCATTTTGGTTATTCAAGTAGATTGTCCCTTGTTTTTGTGGCGCTTTTATGTGTTGTTGTGCACTGACTTTGTGCCAGGTAAAGTAGTTACTCTTTATATTATTCACGTATTTGAATTGTGCCTTATCTACATCTTCCAGATTTCATTAACCACATTACATAACCACTTTGGTGGATGATTGGCAAATAAAACCACACAGTTTCCATAAACGATTCATTTCACGACCTGAAACTCACCCAGAGGATATTCTGTTACAAACGTCATCTCAATAAAGATCAAATGACCGGTTATATCATGTAAACAGAACCGCAATTTCAATGCCAGTTTGCAACTTACAATTGCAACACTGAAATTTTAACCTATAACAGGGTTCGAGCTACTGCCGTAAGCTGGTTCTACGCGTTATTTATTACTGCGAATACATTCATCTTGAGAAGGAATGAGAGAAAAATAGTATCTGGTATGAACTCGATTTGGATGAAACTGATATGATGGACGAAAACTTTAGCTTGGTGAAACATACTCATTTTTATATAACTTTTTTTTTATTCATTTATTTCACATAATCAGATCCACAAAACAGAGAGCTTGTACAGGATCCCATAATCCATTGATGTATCATACTGTTTTTAAAAGTAATACATTGACCTAATAATAAGCACATAAAAAAATATACACATAAAACACATCTCTATTACAACACAAATTGTCAAATCAGGTCATTATTCAGAATGAAATCAAACAACTGCTTTCTGAACGATTTCATACTATAATTATTTCTTAGTTCGGTTGGTAGGTTATTATAATGATTAACAGCTTTGAAAGTTATTGAGCTTTGAGTTCTGGTAGATTTGGATCTATTTGGCCGTAAATTGTTTGCCGCTCTTGTTGAGTAATTGTGAAACTGGTTATTAGGAATAAGTTTGATTGTTGTTTTCATGTAGTAAGTATTTATTTTATGAATAGTTTTCGATGATTCAAATTTAATAGCTTTAGCCAAATTTAGTAACCCGGTTTTTCACTGACATTTAAATCATTTCCCCACTCACTTAAGAGATATGACATATGAGAATAAATGAAAGAGTGGTATAGTTGTTTTTGTATCCTATTATTGAGTAGTTCTAAGACGAATTTAAAGCATTGTCAGTTAATTGATAACACTGGAAAGGTGTTTCTTGAAATTTAAATTGTTATTTATGTATTTATTTATATTAGCCCAGATATTTAACACACTCAACTTCTTTAAATAATTGAACTGTTTATCGTGATATCAGTTCGTTTGAAGTTACCAAAATTAATATAACAACATTATTTTTCATTCAAGCATAAATAGTTTTGAGCACACCAAGATTCCAAAGTATTTATGTCTCTTTCAATTTGGTGTTCTATGTCATCTTGATGCTCAGAGAAAAACACAACTGCTTCATCCCCATAGAGGGCAATCTTCCTATGGAGATCAGAATAAACAAGGTCGTTTATGTAAATCAAAAACAATAGGGGTCCTAATATAGACCCTTAGGGAACCCCAATAGTTGTTAGTGATTTGTCACTGAAGTTATCTCTAACACCCACATACTGTGATATCTTTCACTCAAATAATCAGTAGATAGATGGAGAAATTTGTCTCTAACACCGATACAGTTGAGTTTGGAGCACTTGGTGATCGACAGTATCAAAGCTTTTTTGAAGTCGACAGCTAGACCCCTCACAAGTTTTTTGTTCTCCCTTTCATTATAAATAAATTCAAGTATGTCAATAACTGCTGTTTCAGTCTCTTTTTTATTTAAAACCCCATTTTGGTTTTCAGCAAAAAAGTCGATATTTTTGAGGTGATTTAAGAGTCTGTTGTACATAATTCTTTCATATACTTTGGATAAGACTGGAAGTACAGGTATTAGTCTGTAGTTATTTGGATCAGTCTGCCTGCCGTCTTTAAAAATGGGAACCACTCTTGCTATTTTTAATTCAGATGGAAAACTACCAGATTTAATCAATCTGTTGATAAGCTTAGCTAGATATTCGGCGAGTAGGTATGTATTTCGATTTTTCATTAATTAATATTATTCAGATCAATATTTCTGAACATGACGAAAACTTTGGCAAAGTAAATAATAAGGAACTTAAAATCTTAAGACTAAGAGCTTCTAGGAAAATTTCGTGAATGATTGTCAGCTGGTGCAAGACAGACTGCTTCAGCTTTGTCTAGCCTCATAAGTTGCACTAGGCCAGCTGGCAATCGATTCACGAAGGGTACTACTACATATGAAGTCAATAGTGAAAAATGCTCATTCTTACCTTGTAAAATATTCAGATCAATATTTCTAAACATGTCATCCCAAACGATAATTTTCAGATTGGGATAGTTATCTTTGATGAACTGTGCAACTTCCGTCATATGGTCCAGGTACAGTCCTGCTCTACCAAATTTGGATGTTTGTATTCTTTTTTGACAAGCAGAGCAAAGTCCCATATGCCAAATCTAAAATTAAAAAAAATCATTGGAAACAAAATATTTTCAATTACAATTACTTATTTTATTATTTATATCTTTTGAGGATATAAAAAATTATCTTGAAACAATTCTAAGCTACCTTTCTGACTTGATTTTCTGACTCATTGTGAACCAATAGTCAAGGAGAAGACTTTCCTCACAGGGTGATTCATTAATAATGGGCAATCTCTGAATTACAGATAATATACCACAGTATGATTCAGCCCAACATGCCTTATACAAATGTTACAGATACAGGGTGTTCAAGAAAAACAAATTCTCCATACCTCTCGTCAAACATTTACTTTGAAATTCCCAGATACTAATTTTGAATATAAACGGATCATAATTACGAAACCAATTTACCATATTGGAGACGCCATCTTGATTTTCCAATTTTGAAGTAAGAATCATAATCTAGGACCTCGGAAACTCGCAGATCCAATTTTGAATAGAATCGGATCATAATTATAAAACTCTTCCTCCATCTTGAATTTCCCAATTTTGACGAAAGTCATCTTAGATATACCACCCTGAAAACTCCCAGATACAATTTTCCACAGAATCTGTCATATTGGAGCCGCCATCTTGAATTTTCCAATTTTGACATAATAATCATCCTTGCCGACCTCAAGATTCCCCAGATACCAATTTTGAATAGAATTACACCATAATCACAAAATTCATTAGCCATTTTGAAGCAACCATCTTGAGTTTCTCAATTTTGATGGAAGAATCAAAATTTTCGACCCCGAAAACCACCAGATACAAATCGGGTTTTTTACAGTCTTCTCAGAGGAAATGTGACCATGAAAATGTACATATTCCTGAACCAAGTGGTCCTCTGAATCAGTGTTATAAAATTACAGCTTTTTTTTATTTTTTTTTGTGTTGCATACAAGAAAGAACGATATACTGTATCTTGTATCCTGTATCAAAGCGTGCGAGAGTAGGTACTATAACCTTTATGTTTGTTGTGTTTATTGTTATGTTAACATTGCAGTTTAGACTACGATTTGAAAACAACTAAATCAAATGGATAAAATAATAATTCCTAGTAGATTTTGTACTATACCTCATCGCCTCCTATGTGAATATACTGAATATGCGGATGAAAAGCTATCATTTGTCTAACCATACTTCTGACAAGTTGAAGGGTATCACTCTTACTTGGACACATCGAGCTGGGATACGGCTCAGCTTCTCTCAAACCTCTGTACTGTTCGTGTTTCAGGACGAATTCCATGTGTCCGAAGGTTTGTACTAGAGGAATCACTGATAGTTCTGAATCCTTCGCTGAAAAATATACATGGTGAAACAGAAATTTGCCAGATAAAGGATAAGGGCAGAAGGGGCGAGATATATATGAATTGCCGGTAAAATGAATATATTTTATGAAGTTTCATCATTTACAAATAGAAGAAATATATTGATTATGATTCAAGACCAGCCAGCTCAGTTAGGTTGGGTCGTTCTAGAATGTCTTCATGAATGAAGCATTAAAAATCAGATCTTCTATGTTTTCTGCAGCGAACCTTTTTTCAAATGAATTATTGATGGAGTCCAAGTTAGTATGTGTTCGGATAGGTTACCGCAGTCAGATATTTGAAAACTAAGAGTTCAGGTTGAACAGCGTCTAGAATCTGTAGATGTTCGACGTTTCGGCACCGATTTTGGACCCATTTTCGAGAAGTGAAAAAATTTTTTTTATGTTCTGGTTCCCACGAAAAGGGATATCCTGTAATGTTCAGAGAACATCGTGAGAACCAAGGGAAATAAGGTAGGAATTGGTGTTCTTCTTGAATTTCTGGAGGTGATATGCCTTGGGAAACACCTCCCTTGGCAATGTGTTCCAGAGCCTCGCTGTTCGTTGGATGAACGAGTCTTTGGGAAGAGATGCTCTGCAGGTCTCCAAAGTGACCACGAAGGGGTGCGAAGCCTCAACTGGACGGGTTCATCTCACGGGGACTGCCAAGGGTGGTACACTTGTTGATATTTCAGACGAGCATCGTCCATGAAAATATCTATAAAATAGAGCCAGATCGCCAACTTTTCTAGAGTGTTCCAGAGAAGTGAGTGAGTTTGTGAGCGAGGCATCACCCACGAGACGAATTGCCCTTTTTTGATAGAATCCAACAGTTTCAGGTTATGTTTGGGTGCTGCACTCCGAATATGGGAACAGTATTTCAGGACAGGTCGGATATGTGCCTTATACATCATAAGCAGCTGACTGGAAGTGATATAGCTCCTGGCCCGAAATGGATGTCTTCAAAGGTATGTTTAGTCCTGACACGCTTATTTTTGGCACAGTGAGATCGGCTTTTCTAGAGAAAAGGTATGCTTGTGTTTTGTTTGCATTGAAATCTACCAAGTTATTGGATCCCCATTCGAGAATTGTTACCAAGTCCATATTTATGTTGTCAACATTTCTCCCTCGTTCGTTTCGATTTGCCTGGCTGGTATTGGAGCCCTGGAAGAGAAGGCGGTATGGATGGTACTATCATCCGCGAAGCTGTGTACTGGACATGAAGTTGCTTTCAACAAATCGTTGATATGGAGTAGAAATAGTGTTGGTGCTAGAATCGATCCTTGCGGAACACCAGCATTTATGGTAAGAAAGTAAGAGAGTCAGATGGAACTCCGTCGACCACTACATGGAGAGACCTGTTTGAGAGAAAACTAGCTAGCAGCCATAAGATGGAAGCTTGGCGAGGAGTCCGTGGTGGCCGACTCGATCGAATCGAGATATCAAGTGCCACGGCTAAGGTTTCACCATATTTTTCAATAGATTGCTGCCACATATGTGAGACGTAAGCGAGCAGGTCACCAGTTGATCTCTCATGACGGAAGCCATATTGCCTATCGTTGATAATACCTGAATGTTCCAGGTATTTCATGAGCTCGATGTTGATAGCTTTCGCCATGATCTTTGAAATAATAGATAGCAGTGCGATCGGTCTGTAGTTGCTAGGTAGGGTCTTTTTGCCTTTTTTAGGAAATGGTTGTACTCTTGCAATTTTCCAGTTGGACGGAAATATCCCCAATTTGTAAGAGTAGTTGAACAACTTGCAGAGAACAGGTGTTAGTTCGGGAGCAAATTTCTTGAGAGAACAATCGGTGGGATTCCGTCAGAGCCACAAGCTTTGTTGGTGTTGAGACCCAATGAAATCTCCCTTATAGTACGTTGGCGAAAGGTGATCTCGGGCATATGACTGTCAATTGGCGTTATGTTTGGAGGTTGTTTTCCCGATGAATCCAGAGTGGAATTTCCAGCAAATAAATGCGCGAAAATGTTGGCTTTCTCCTGGGCAGTTGTGGCTAGTGTTCCATCTTCCTTGGTTAGACGAGGAAACGATCTGGAAGTGAAGTTTCTTCCTACAGCTTTGGCGAAGGACCAAAATGAACGGGATCCGTTAGGACATTCAACAAGTTCTGATCTTATTTTGGCATTATGAGCATCCTTTGATGATCGAAATAAAAAGATGATTGGAAAATAAAGGAAGTGGTTTCTCACTGGGGTCTCAATCTGCCTACTCCTCAGTTAATATCACGGAAGGTATGTGACTTGACGCCGGGGTCTCACTCTGCCTACTCCCCAGATCTTCTTACTGGTTCTCTCTAAGGTCTCAATCTGCCTACTCCTTCGAGAGTACTGATAGTGTGTGGGTAGTGGAGCGGTATTCATGGTGGATATGGTGGTCAGTGAAGCGAAACTAGGAGCGTGGTTTGTTTTGGCGCAGTGTGGAATGGCGGGAAATGAGAGGTTTCCAAGTGCGTTATACAACTTCTTGTGTTGAACTATCATACCATGTATACCGGGCGTCTTTTACAATCGGTATATATTCGTATGGCTTACCCAAAGGTTCCAGTGCAATTCCAGTAGTAGAATTCAAATAATAGTGGCATAATAGTACCATAAAAAATTATGAATATTGAAGACAGTTTCGAAAAATAATGTAATTCATCAAATAGTTCAGCTTTTTTCCTCAAATAATCAGTCGGGGGAAAAATCCATGAAAATATGCATGCTTATATTCAGGAATAGACCCTCTTCATTTAAAATATTTTCAGCAATGCAGTGTTGCCGCTTCTATAGAAAAGTAGCAACAACTTTGTTATTTCAAATAGAATAGAATGTATTTAATTGCATTTTTACATTCTTTCTGAAGAGCTGACTTCATCGATACATTACACTTGGGGTCTATCGGAAATGATTACAGAGATATAGGGTGTTCAAAATGGAGATTTTGCAACTTTAGGATTTGTTTGTGTCGAAAGTATCTATTATCAGCCAAAACGGCTCACGTGTAAAAAGTTGAGATTGGGACATGTGAGCCGTTTTGACCGATAATGAATAGTTTCGACACAAACAAATCCTGAAGTTGATAAATCTCGATTTTGAACACCCTGTATCTCTGTAATCTTTCTCGATAGACCCCAAGTGGAATATACCGATAAAATCAGCTCTTCAGGAAAATGATGATCTACAAAGCACAAATAGGGTCAGTTTTAGAAAACTGTTCTCATGTATGGGGTTCCGCACACGAACATATGCTGATGCTCTTAGATTCCATCCAGAAAAGAGCCATTCGCCTGGTGGGTGATGCCACACTTACCAACTCTTTGACCCCATTGAAACACCGTAGGAAAGTCGCGAACTTTCACCTTTCTATAGATATTTCCACGGAATATGTTCCTCAGAAATCTCTGCTATTATTCAATCAGTAGCAGTGCCGGTCAGACAAACTCGACAGGCCCAGTCAGCACATCCCTTCGTCGTTAAACTTGAAAAATATCGAACAACACTCTACCAAAACTCGATCGTCTATAGAACGGCGAAGCTTTGGAATTCTTCGCCAATGGAAGTTTCCCAAGAGCTTATATCCAAAAGTTCATAAAAATACCCAATACCTACCTCCTCTTCCTATCCTAGGTACACGCGATGTTCCACGAACATTATAGGAATTTCCTTCCGTGCGCTCGAAGAGATAAAAAAAACGAGAATAAGGCATATTATTTCCGAGATTATTTCTGCAAAGAATACTTCCCGTATTCTTCACCTCGTTTCACATGTATAGATGAATAGCATCAAGTAATTATTGTTCTTATTAACAGGATTATATAAAGGAATTTTTTAGTTTGTTGTAACAGCATTTTTGAACGTGATTTTGACCCACTCAAAGTGTTGGATGTTGGATTGATTTGAAATTTGTCAGGTTTACATAACTCTGGTGACAATGAATAATGAGATTTTTGTGAGACAAAAAAATCAAATGACGACTCCAAAATGGCGAATGAGTTTTATAATTATGATCCTATGCTATTGAACATTGGTACTTGGTGGTTTTCTGAGGTTTAAATAGTCAGAGATTATGATTCTTTTGTCAAAATTGGGATATAGGAAATTATGATGTTTTCTTTTGTATTTATGGATCCAATATGGCGAACGAATTTTGTGATTATGATCTGATTCTATTCGAAATTGGTATCTGGGAGGTTTGCAGGGTTCAAGATAGCAGATCCAATATGGCAAACGAGTTTTGTGATATTATGATCCGATTCTATCCAAAATTGGTATCTGGGGGATATTGAGGTCAAAAATTATGTTCTCCTATAGAAATTTGGTATTTACAGACGGCGAATCTGATACGGCGGACAACTTTTGTGATTTTCGTTGAAATCAGATGCTTACAAAAATATAAAAATCTTAAAAATACGCTTTTGTAGCTAGCCCAACAAAAAAAAAAGAAAATGAATGGTGATTCCAGAAACAAAAAGAACATGCTTTTATAGATATTCAAACTTAAGGGAGGTAGAAATTAAAATGATGAAAGTGTGTTGAAAAATACTGAACATACATAGAATATATATATACTTTTATGTTAGGTGCTAATATTTTAAATGTTGTATTTTTATCAAAACACTTTTATTTTTTTATTTTCTACTTCCTTTCAGTTTGACAATCTATGGAAGCTTGTTTCTTTAGTTTTTCAAACTACTATTCATTTTTTATTCATCAAACAAATAATAGGTACAAAAATAGTTATTTATTATACAAGGGAAAAAAGTAGTAGATTTTAGCTCCAGGTTGTGTTGTCTCCCGACGCGTAGCGGAGGGAGACAACAAACCGTGAGCTGAAATCTAATATTTTTCCCGTGTATAATACACTATTTTTTTCTGTGACAGAAGAAAGGACGAATCAATATTGAGAAGACATTACATTATTTTGAAATCTGAAAATTATCCACGTGAAATTTTAAGTTTTTAACAGTAAGGACACCGCGTTGTAGGCATCTTTATCATTCATTTGAAGTAATCAAATATCTGATGTCACTTCTGTCAGTCTAATAAGCCATCAACAGTGTATATATATGTGATATATATCCGGGAAAAAAGTAATCACTTTTTTCCCACGGGAAAAAAGTAATTCATGAAAAGTGACATTTTATAACCTGCCAACAGGGATGAAATGCCAAACTTTTTTCCCGTCACAGAAAAAAATAATATATTCAAGACTAGAACCTTTGGTAGGACAACCCACTACTACACCCACTCACACTAGCCAAACCTATTGATTGAAGGCCTCAACATGTGTTTTGCTAACTATGTCATCTTCATGAGAAGATTAAAACTAATCTATTGATCTGAAGATGCAAACATCATGGCTAATATATTTGCCAGTGAAGTGCTAGGGTGAATACATTTTGTATTGTTTTGAATTATACTGTCTATACAGGGTGTTAACAAATAAGTGTCACAACGGAAAACTGTAGATTCCTCATGATAAAAGAAACATTTTTTTCCCTTTCGAAATTTTTCTCCGGGCTTCCGTTTGCAAGATACAGGGCGTCAAAATAATACAAAACAATCTGTTTTTTGCTACTATCTTAGGAACCGTTTGAGCTACGGAGTTAAGCCTTTGTACACTTCATCATCAATTATCACTACTTCTAGGGGTCTTGATCAATTTCCTTGGACATGTCAGTGGGGGAGAATTCAACGCCTCGTGAGGGTTTAACCCCCCAAACATTTATGCCACTGGAGAAATAGTAATTTTCAAAGTAGATTCTGAAGCACCAATATCTTTCACACAAAAACGTCCTCTTGTCTCAATGCTCTAAAGTGAATAGTTTCTGCGAAAAATGGCTCTTTATGACTAAGAACATACAAAATCCTGATGGTATCTCCAAAAATCATCTGAAAATCCACTGGAAATAAACACCTCAGAACTGTCTAAGAATATGTTCAATCAAATGCTAGGTTCTTGCATATGCTGGTTTTCAAATTGTCAAGTTTATTAAGTGTTGTAAAGTGTGTTCAATTAAACTGAACATTTTTTATTTTTTGACGCCCTGTATCTTGGAAACGGAAGCCTGGAGGAAAATTTTGAAGAGGAAAGAAATGTTTCTTTCATTATGAGGAATCTACAGTTTTTCGTTGTGACACTTATTTGTTAACACCCTGTATAAATACTTGTCTCTGTGTGTTAAATCTAAAGTAAAGTTTTTTAAAATCTTGTTTTTAAACTAACGAATCTGTGTCCTTGAAATTTTCAATCTGTATAATGTTTTACTGCTCATTCTATTATAATATAAGTTCTATTTAGTTCTACCAAAATCATGACTTGTCACAAACATCTCAATTGTAAGGTGATCAAATAAATCTCCTCTACTCTACTCTAATTGCAAAATCGGTTTGGTTAGTGGTAAAACAGTGTAGTTGACTAAATAATCTGAAATCTGTTAGTGATATACTACTGTTTGGGTTTCCATGAAAAAAAAATGTTTGCACAAAAATACTCATACCATCTCTTATGAAAAAGATTTTCTAATATTGATTCTTCAGATGATTCAAGACATGACAAGTGTATCCTCACTCATCAAAAAGCATTAATCACTCTAGATTGAGCAATCTTCAACACATACAGTGAAACTTGCAGTGAAATATCCTTTTCCAAGACCTCTATAGCACTATAGCCTACCTAGATCAAGTAATTGCCGAGCTTCCTCCAGTGAATATGGTGATCCAGTTGCTTGTGCACTGTCGGAGAGTCCTCCAATTTGTGTCAGTTCCTTTGTATATGGAAATGTGTCTTCCCATTCTAACAGTATTCCTGTTGCCCCAATATTCTTCAGAAATGGAAATAGCTACAAATTTCATCAATTAGTTTAGTTTCCAAGTCGTTGGTCTCTCGGATTTGTCACCTTCTCAAAGAAATGGATCCTTGGTGGAGCCCCCTTCAAATCCAAATGTATCAATCTAGGAAAAAGTATATGTAGACAAATTTATTGATAAGTTTTATCTTACCTTTGTGTACCAGACGTTAAATTATCCATTTCTGTCATATCATTTTGAAATTGCATTAATACAGGACAGGATCAAAACAAAAACAATAACATAACCCAATATTGTTCGAAATTCGAAACGTCAAAGAATGGGTTGCCTTCTTTAACACCTTCAGTGTTGCCAGACGAAAAAAATTAATTGTACTGAAATCACTATTCAATTGTACTGAAACCACGTGAAATGTACCAGATATGGAATTTTGACAAAATCGATGAGAAAATTGATGAACGATATTTTTTATATTTCAAACATATGAAGAAAAAACAAAATAATCAAATCAAATCAAAATCAAATCAAATATACTTTATTGTCTGAAGAACGTAATTCTTATTGACAAAGTCGTTACAATTAAAAGAAATAATAATTATAAATAGAACAATATGCACACAAGTGAATCAAATAAAATTTGGTACAACATTTTTACCGTACTGGTCAACAACAACATGCATAAATATAATATAATAGTACAATAAATATTAAAATTATCACAATAAAAAATTGCTTTGTTCACATTCATAACAATGGTTATAATCACTAAAATACAATAACAACAAACATGTGTAAATTTATAATAAATACAAGTACAATATAAATATAAATTATGAATAAATATCACTATTGAAACGTATTAAAATTGAATTATGAATACTAAGGATCGGACGACGAAGTCAAATTCCACAACACTAAAAGTTCTGACTGTAGAATTCATCTAATGAGTAAAAAGCAAATAGTAATGCATGATGCAATGGATAAAAGTAGTAGATTTTAGCTCCAGGCTATATGTTGTCTACCGCGACGCGAAGCAGAGAGGGAAACAAAAAACCGTGAGCGTTGATTGATATATTACGCTTACGCTGGGTAAGCGTAATATATCAATCAACGCCGTGAGCTAAAATCTAATATTTTTCCCGTATATAATACACTATTGTCACCTAGAGTCACTGGATGGTATTAGAGTCCCTGTATATACCTTAGACAAGAGTCCGGACACAGCTATACTTCTGTCCTTTTCTGTTTTCAAAAAATGCATTGATGATTGAATAAAGGAATAAGACATATATATCGAGCTCTGTCTTTTCAATTCCCCTAGGATCAATGATTGTCAGAAACAATTTTGAGGGTTAGATTATTTGTCAAACCGTTTATAGCCGTAGGTTGAAGTGAGAAATAGGGCTATTTTGACTAGAATAACTATTAGATTTTCAAATAATGAACAATGGGGTGTTCAAATTTCGAATCGATAATTTTCATAATCAATTTCTGAGATGGCTATCGCAAATTTTCGTCATTAGATATTTCTCCACTTCATTAGATATAAGAAAGATAATTTTAGTGTTCTACGTGGTATCACATATTGCCAAGACAATATAGTTGTTTTCTGATGGGATATGAAAAAATAGAAGATATAAAATTGTTTCAATATAATTTTAATTGTGTCGGTTTCCCACCTCTTCCTGCAGTCTACATTGACCTGTAAATTTTGAATTTGATCTGAATTGAAAACACCGTGGACTGATGACATAGCACATTCCAATTTCTCAAAATCTACTAGTTTTGATTTCAAACTTCCAATTTCTTTCCGCATCATCTCATTCTCATTTTCTTTCTCAGCGATCGTATCATTCAGTGATTCCCAATACGATGACGACGGAACTTTTTTTTGAACGTCTCTATTTTATAAATTGACGGCACAGCAGACTCTTTCAATTTGAAATCCATCAGCTTGAAAGATTCTCTATCAAAATGGGCCTAAAATTCTTCTTTTTTGTACTGTTTTTTTCAAGTAAATTTGAATATTTACCTCACATATTGCGGATTTCTTGAAATTAATTGTCCATTCTCGACGTTCCATTACATTTTTCCATGCCATTATCTTTGAAGGATCATTTGGAAAATTGAATAACTTGAATCCCTTTTCCAATGAATAATCGCAATAATGTACGCAGCAGGACATCGAAATAATTTAAAATGCTAAATTTTGGCGGTCATAAAATTTCAGTGACAGTGACAGAAATTCGAAATAATTAAAAAAAGCGTGCGGGACGACTATGGTGTTTCGTCACATTGTCAGGTGGGCCAACCAAATGAAACAAAATATTAAAAACCCCAACGGCTGTCAGTTTTGTGTCCGGACTCTTGTCTAAGGTATATACAGGGACTCTAGATGGTATTAGTTTGATAAGAGTTCGGACACAGCTGAACTTTTGTCCTTTTCTATTTTCTATAATACAATGGTTTAAGTGAATAAAAGAATAAGACATATATTCGGCTCTTTGTCTTTTCAATTTCCCTAGAAGCGCCTGATTGTCAAATACGATTTTAGAGGTTATATTTTCTGTCAAATCAATCATAGCCGTAGATGGACAATGGATATAGGGTACAAACACCCACTTAAATTTATAGTGATACACTTCTAGCAGAACAACTGTTATATAAATGAGAAGAATGCATGTACCAACGTTTTAATATTAGAAAATATACACATATGGATAAACTCATAGCTATAAATCCTTATTGTATGTCAAACTGTACTCCAGTGATAAGTATAAAACATGAAGTTATTAATATTTAATTAAAGGTAGGTATTCTCAATATACAAGAAGTAACATAAATACGTTCAAGTGAAGTATTCCTGAGACAATTTTAAGAAATAAAGTGTATATAAGCTTGTGTCCGGAAATGTTTCATTTCGGACATAGAGGGTGATGAAACACAGAGAACAAATCATTTTTTGATAAACATTCCCTTGGAAAAAAGTAGTTAATTTTGACGAGATCTACCAAATACATTTTTCTGTAAAGTTCTCAGCAACTTCACTTAGCGCCTTAGAAGGTAAGCATCTAAGTAACATGGATCGATATACCAAATACATTTTTCTGAAAAGTTCTCAGCAACTTCAGTTAGCGCCTTAGGAGCTAAGCATCTAAGTAAAACATGGATCGATATAGAATAATTCACTTTTCACTGTTGAATTTTGAATTTGATCGGCACCAAAAACGCCATTCAATAATATATCACGTTGTAGTTTCCTTGCTTTTCTTAGTTTTGTTTTCAAATTTCCGATTTCATTATGTAATTTTACGGTCATGTCCACTTTCCATGATTATTTTGTTCTGTATTTCGTGTGATGATAATAATGGAATTTTGAAATCGTCTGCTTTGTAAATTGATGGAATGGCAGATTCTCTCAAACAGATTTTGAAATCTTCTGTTCCAAACTGGACCTGAAATATAGTTTCATTCTGTGATCAGATGCTGTTATAAGAAGCTAATTTTAATGAGTACCTCACAAATTTCGCTCGTCTTGAAATTGATTTTCCACCCAGGCCGTTTCATATCTTCCTTCCATAAGCGAATGGTTGATATTTGTTTTGGAAAATTGAATAAATGATATCCATTTTTATCAGATTTGGCACACGTTATTACACAGCAAGTGATTTCCATAGCTGCTTTTTTCTCGAAAGTATAATTATTATTACATTTCATTTCAAATCTGACGTTCATAAAATTTAGTGTCAAACAAATTTGAATAAGAAGCGCGGGACGACTATGGTGCTATTGTCACAATGCAAGGTGTGTAACTTAATGAATCTAAACATTCAAAAACCCTAACAGTTGTCATTTCTGTGTCCGAACTCTTATCAAACTAATAGCATCCAGTGACTCTATTGTCACCTAAAGTTTTCTGTGATAGGAAAAAGTACAAATCAATATTGAGAAGATTATATCAAAATAAGAAACTTATCGATGTGAAATTTGAAGTTCCTAACAGGAATGAGAGCTGCGTTGTATAGGCATCTTTTTGCAGGCTTCTCTATCATTCTTTCGAAGTCTAATTTTGTGATTTGATTTTGAAAAAAATCAAATTTAGTGGTTGTTTATACTAATTTACGTAATCGCGAAGTCGAATGGAATATAATAATATAAAAGGACATGCAGTTCTTTCTTGGAGATGGTGTTATTGGCTTACACTGAGAGAAACTAGATATTAAAAATATCTACCAGCACTGATTGTAATAACCATTATAAATAAATCTCTTATTCCTGATCATTTTATTATTACAACAGTATATTTTCTCCATTCTGTAGTTATTAAAATGGCTTAATACCCTTGAATGGACATTTGCTACCATCATAACGCAGGTGTGTTATGACATTATGAGAATTTTATAAATTCCAGTCTATTTAGATTCTCTATCGACATAGCTCGTTTTGTGAATTAATGCTTATTGGTGAATTCAGATAATGTTTGCCCCAATAATCATAGCTGTCTGGGTTTCTACAGGGTTTCTATAAATGATCGTAACATCGTAGTAGCCGTTGAAATATTTTCTCCATTTGTCGCCTTTCATTTATGGAAATTCACACATTCGAATTTAATTCCTGACATCAATCATTATACTGTCATAGCTGATAAACTCACAATTATCAGTTTTTCGTTAAAATTTTCAAATGATTCTGTTTTCTACTTCGTGATTGTCGTGTTGAAAAGAGGGATGGCTTATTCCTCGGAGCAGAATACATTTATTGTAATGTCTCATTGTCGAAATGGCACATTCATCAATGGTGAATGGAGTTACTCGGTAGTATAGCCTGCAAGGATGAGTACCTGGCGAAATATCCTAATGTACAGATTCAAGAATCTTCTTTGAACGCCCACATCAGAACAGTGATCGACAGATTCATCCAAACTGGAAACGTTAATAGAAAGAAATCAACAGGAAGGCCACAAATATCGAAAGAAGTTGTCGAAAATCTAAGGGCGCGTGTTGAGTAAAATCCCCAAAAATCATTGAAGAGATTATCTTTACAATCTGGTGTGCCACTAAGGACATGCCATAAAGTGCTCAAGAAAAGATTGCATATGCGCCCTTACAAGACCAGTGTACTACAGCAACTTCTGCCAATAGATATCCCACGTCGTCAGGGAGTACTGCCAAAGGTTCCAAAATAAACTCAACGGTGCCCAGCTATTGGACCTAACATTTTCAGCGATGGGGCTTGGTTTCATTTGTCTGGATACGTGAACTCACAAAATTTTAGGTTTTGGAGATCTGAGAATCCCCACAATTTCATTGAGACTCCACTACATCCTCAAAA